CATTCAAGAAGTTGTTCCAATGAAGTCACCTTGAGATACATATAAGACAGACATTATTTTAGCTTAATCAGTTAGATTTTTTACTATATACATTGCACGCAGATGCTCCTTTGCATCACAAATCATTATTTGTATCAATAGGAGTCCTTTGCCATTCCAGAATTTAACATGATGACTATAAGCAATCTTTTGAGTTAAAAACTTTAAATTTAAGATCACTTGCTAGGAACAGCAAGATAAGTAGAAGACATGTTTTCATCACTGCATATTGACTTCCAAATATTCTTAGTTGGTCACTGTGGGAGGCAAGATCAGGGACTAGCTGAATGTTTAGTTTTATAACAATAAGGGGTCTTTTCATTCTTTCATCAACCCATCTTTTCAAAGATGTTGTGATGGAATGATATAAGTGTATATCCACTATCCTTTATCACTGCAGATGTTTCTTTCATGACTTGTTCTCATTTAATGTAGAGTAGATGGCTCGGTCAAAAGCAGAATATGAGTTTTTTTGTATGTTAGTTTTCAGCCTGATGCTGCTTTAATTAGCCAATTTCATGAAGTAGCAAGACAACCCCAAATGCAAAATACAATTGTGGCCCAATCGAAACAATGGACATAAAAAACCACCAGTGTTCTGTGTCCTCCTGGTTGCCCTGATCTTATTATTTATGGATGATGGAAAAGTTAACGTAAGCTACTGTTTTATATTTATTGGTCTCGTCATGTGGTTCTGGAACACATTTGTTTACCATTGGCCATGCAAATTTTGAGTTTTTGAACCTTATCATCTAAGTTTCCTAGGTTTTAGCACAGCATGCAATTAATATTCTTCATTTTACCAAAACAAGTCTATTACACTTCTCTAATAATTTATGTATCATGTGGCCAGATATTTTGACATTTTCTTCCTTCTCAAATCTTAAAATATTCTTGGGTCAAACATTTTATCAATGTATAATTCTTGAGGGAGAATATAACTTTCTGTAAACTATTTTCTATAGCTCTTTTTTTACAAATTTGAGAAGGCTGGTAATTAAGAAAAATATGCATAAAACTATTGACTTCAGCATTACATGTTTTATGTTTCTTTTTTAGCTTTTGATTCACTTGCATGGTACTATCACACACAACAACAGGTAACTGTGGATGCTTTTTGTTACTTGGGCACTGCAACATCCCCATGGTGTGTTGTAAGGATATGAATAAGGGGTGTTGCAGTTGTCATAACTTTGAAATAGAGTCATATGTGGTTTTGGGGTGTCTAACGTAATTTTGAATATTTTTTTAAGTGACCTGTCCTATCTCGAGAAATACATACGTTTCGTTTATATTCATTAAGTGAACTATCATATCTCGAGGACTAGCTGCATATGTTTTGCTTATGTGTAAAACAAAATTCAACAAGTACTTATTGTCCTAAATTAGTTGTTGACTGTGAACAGACCAGTCACAGCTATAAAGTGCTATTCAGAAAGAAAATGTTATTATTGTATGTGTTCCTTATGTAATCATGTACTTTTTAGAAAGCACAATCAGATATACACCATAAATATTTTTTTCTCTTTCAAAACATACAGTATATTTTGATCTTCCTAATGGGATACATATCTATATGACTGTCCATCTCATGAAAGAGTGACTCTGTTTGGCACATAACAAAACTATAAAACAGCATATAATATCATATCATACCAATACAATTCCTATCCAGAAAGACCATTTTTTTTATTAAGTCCATCTTGTAATAAAAATTATGCTGGCCACTGCCATCTGTCTAATGATGAAATAATAATGGAAACAAAAGAGCATAAAGCAAAGAAGAACACAGCAATCTGGTATTGATTCAATATTTTACGTTTTTTTTCAAATGTTTTAAATTAAATGTTGCTTTCAGTAAACAAAATAAAGAGTTATGTTCAGGGTAGATTCAAAATGTCAAGATAGAAAACGAAGGCAACAAATTAGTCTTATGACATCTTTGCTTCCATAAAATAGAAGCAAGAAATAAATCTGATGAAATACTTCTTTTTTCTACCCAACAGTTCCTGGCAAATAAGGTTCAGAAAGTCTTGATAGGTTTTAAAGAAGCAGCATTGTCCCATTATTCATTTTCCTGTCATGGTGGTTCACAGTGAACATCCACATAAAGGGATGTTTTTCCAAAGAAATAATTGCAGGAGAAAACAGAGTTAGTTCTGCTCTCATCCCCACATTAGAGAAATTTCAACTGCTTTGTATTGTCCCTACTAGGGAAACACAGCTAATCTAATTAGCTTTCCAGCTAACCTAGTTTTGCCAATTTCAACAATCTGCTTGTAGTGCTAAACCTGCTATGTAGGATGCTAAGACAGGAGTGCTATAGGTTATATTAAGCCTGTAAACCTGAGGCTCTCTATTTCTATTAAAGTAATTAAACACAAGACAATTAAAAACTAAACTTACTTTTCTAAATGTAATCCTCTATCTACCAATTTTGGCAATATTTTTTTAAAAAAACAAAAGAAACAAAAGACATTTGTTAGTTTCATTTCACAAGATACTGATTTCATTTCTGCTCCCAAATTTATGCAGTTATAATGATGTTAATTTCAATTTTCCATAAAAAAATTCATGTTAGATATCAGAATTTTCTCTGTATCTACTGCATAGGGAGAAAATAAGGGCAGAGAAAGATCAATGAAAATGGCTTTTTTTTTCAAATTGAGAAAATAAAATTAAATGCAAAATAAATGTGGAAAGTCAAACAAAGGGGGTATATTTGTAAATTTTAGAAAGCCCAAGAAAGGACAGAATAATAATTAAAACAGATGATACGGTAAAATTAAATAAGACAAGATAATATATTTGTTCAACTTTCCTTTGTGAATAGGGTATACAATAACGTAATTAAATTGCATATTTATACTTTTTAAACAAATATTACAAACCTACTGTCTTTGCTAAATAAATAATTTTGAATGCAGCTTTAGTTTAGATATTGACACTTCTTCCACAATTTAAAAATAAAGAGGCATCTTAATCATTCTTATCTAACTATATGCACACATTTCTGAAATCCACATTAATTTGAGATGTACTGGATCAGGATTATTACATGTGACTTATGGCATAATTTTGGATTTGCCATTTTGGCCTGGGACTGTTCAGTTCCTAACTCAAGACCACTTTGTAATCTTGTACTCTGAGTTCCGTGAGATAAAAATGTACTTACATAATAAATTATTTCCAAACATTTCCAAAATTCAAAATGTTGTTCCCTTGTGAGAGTTACGTCTGAGCATTAAGTACATTCCTAAGACAAGGATACACATAACCAAACAATAACAATAGCACTTTTTAGTGGGAGCCCAAATCTGCCAGTCTCACCAGGGTATATATATCTGTGTGTATGTGTTTGTATATATTGACTCTACTTACTAGGTGATCACATGACCCCCGGGACACTCTAACCATCATAAATACATGCCAGTTGCCAAGTGCCCTAGATCTGATCATGTGACCACAGGGCTGTTGCAACAGTCATAAGTGTGAAAACGATTGTAAGTCACTTTTTTCAGTGGCACTGTAAATTCAAATGGTCACTAAATGAACGGTTATAAGTCAAGGGCTACCGGTTTGTCGTTTATATCCACAGCCGCTCCACTTTTTCCTCTATGGATGCTCTCATGTAACATAAAAAGAATAACAATTCTGTTTGAGCTTTTAAAATATTTTAGAGAAGTGCAAATGTAATTTCCTAGAAAGCATTTTTTTAAAAAGAAATCTTAAAAACAATAATAGCATTGGGGGAAAAAACCTTTTCTCTTCCTTCTCTTTATTATACACATTTAATCTATTGAATCTAAGAGAATTAATAGAGTATTAATTCCAGCTCATCAATTAAAATCGTATCATTAGAGCAAAAATATTCTCAGAGGGGGAAAAAAAACCCAGCATTCTTAATTTACAGACTAATTCTTTTAAAGTCTGTAATAGCTATTTTTCAGAAGAGCTTAGAAAATTATATACAATGAGTGAATTCACCTTGGATTCCCACATACGTTATCCCAAAGTCAGAGATTATTCAGACTGTAAACAGTTCTATAAGTATCTTTGGGTAAATCATTTCTGATCGCTGTTGCTATAGCTACGGCACCAGTACAGCGTTCCAATGGCACCACATCAGGAAGAACTTTAATCAAAAGTTAGCCAAGGCGCGCCTTTTCCCTGTAGTTAATGAATGAGGATATTTTAATTATACCTCATGATGAAGACACTGTGCTTAAATGAAAAATCTTCACAGAACAAAGAGACAGTCTAATTGAAATATTATTTATCTCTTCAAAACAAAACTAGTTATTTTACTTTTTTAACAGCACTTGAGGGTCTTGATTCAAGGCTGAAATCCCAATTCCACTTACCAGATAACAAATCCTGTTCCATACATACAGATAGTCCTCAACTTACAACCATTCATTTAGTGACTGTTCGAAGTTACAATGGCACTGAAAAAAATGACTCTTGACCGTTTTTCACACAACCATTGCAGCATCCCCAGTCAAGTGATCAAAATATAGCTGCTTGGCAACTGGCATGTATTGATGATGGTTGCACTGTCCTGGGGTCATGTGATCAACTTTTCTGGCCTTCCCAGCTAGCCTCCGACAAGCAAACTCAAAGACAGATTAGTTGAATGACCCCATGGGGTCACTTAATAACTGTGGCAAAAAAAAATTCATAAAATGGAGCAAACACACTTAAAAACCGCCTTGCTTAGAAATGGAAATTGTAGGCTTAATTGTGGTTGTAAATTGAAGACTACCTGTATCTTATTTGATTTAAAACCATGTAAAAAGAGTTAATATAAATAATTACTGCTAATGAATTTTAAACCATTTTTTAAAAATATTAATAACATTACCATTTTCAGTTAAGAGGTCCATTTAGCCAGATAAAAGAAAGAATACTTAAAATTATCTTTATAAAAGAACATCATATCACTCCATGGGAATCCTTACCTCTTGGTTTTTCACATTAAGATATCCATAGTGAGCCCTTCGATGTCGTTTTTGCGTATAGGAAAATGGCATCCACTGGACACTGGATTGTCCGAAGCAGCTGAGCATGAGGGGAAAGCTGACTTCATTTGTAAGGCGGGCAATGATGAGGATTAGAAAAGCAGCTATACAGCCAATTACAACAACGGCCTTGCGCTGCAAATGGGATAGGGAAAAAAATAATTAACAAAAAAAAACAGACGGGTTCATTTTCTTAACCTAAGCGAGAAAAACATCTACAGGTAGTCCTTGACTTATGTATGGCCACAAGTGAGCCCAAGATTTCCGCTGCTAAGCAAGACAGCTTTTAAGTGAGCTTTGCCCCTTTTTACAACCTTTCTCACCACAGTTATTCAGTAAGTCACTGCAGTTGTTGAGTTAGTTAACATGGCTGTTAAGTGAATCTGGCTTCTCCATTGACTTTGACCCTGGAACACTGCAACCGTCATAAGTACAAGCCAGTTGCCAAGTGTCCAAATTTTGATCATGTGACTATGGGGATGTTGAAATGGTTGTGTGGAAAAACAGTCATAAATCACTTTTTTCAGTGCCGTTGTTAACTTCGAACAGTCGCTAAAGTCAAGGACTATCTGTAAATATAACTTCATATGTTTCATATGTCCTTCCATATTCATTACAGAAGCATATGCAAAGATCCCAAGTCCCTGTTCATTAAAGCAGAAGAGGCTAGCTTGCTCATAATGCAAATAGATGTTCAGTTAGTCCTCGAGTTACATCCACAATGGAGCTCAAAATTTCTGTTCCTAAGTGAGACATTTGTAAAGTGAGCTTGCCACACTTGTTAAGTGAATCACCGCAGCTATTCAGTTAGTAACATGATGGTTATTAAGTGAATCAGGCTTTCCCATTGACTTTGCCTGTCAGAAGATCACAAAAGGTCCCAGGGCACTGCAACTGTCATAAATACAAGTCAGTTGCCAAGCAACTGAATTTTGATCACGTGACCACGGGGATGCTGCAATGGTCATAAGTGTGAAAAACAGTCACAAGTCATTTTTTCAGGGTCATTGTAACTTTGAACGGTCACTAAATGAACTGTTGTAAGTCGAGGATCACCTGTAGTTGCATCATACACATACATATTCATCATACATACAAAATACTTAAACACCCACACTGTATAGAGAAGAGCATAAGATAGGCTGCTCTAGACAAGAGAAATTTCATGCTTGGGCACTAAATGAAAGCACTAAATTCTCTTTCCTAAAGTTAAAACGGAGTTGCAATTTCTAAAATTCAACGGTTACATAGATAACATCAAATTAATGTCCCATTAAGAAAATTCTCCCAATAATTTTTTTTCGAGAGAGAAGAGCAAAGTTCAAAAATAATTGGTCATTTTGCTTTTTTTAACATTAATTAGGAAAAGTATAATATTTTAGGGCACCGGTGTCAAACTCGCCGCGTCTTGTGATGTGTTGCGATATATCACGATTTTTTTTCACATTGCTGGAGCTGAGTTGGACACGGCCTCCACATGATGCAACCGGCAACTGGCAGTTTGACACCCCTGTTTCAAGGTGTGGATTGCTGAAATGGAGGGTTTCCTTTACAGTTTTCAAATCCATTCTGACCAGGCAGACTATATTATGAATGCAGAAATGGCTCATGTTTTAAAAATTAACACCCCAAACAATGTTTATTTTTAAAACTAGCTGCAATGGTCTCCACATTCATTTTCTGACATTTTTAAGGCTCCACTAGGAGAATCACAAATTAAGAGTAAGCATCTTTTTCTTCTAAATGAGTCTTCTTCTAAGACTAAATGAGTCTTCTTCTAAGACTAAAGCAGGGGTGTCTAACAGTGCCAACTTTAAGAGTTGAAGACTTCAACTTCCAGAATTCCGCAGCCAGTATGGGTTTATTCTGGGGAATTCTGGGATTTAAAGTCCACAGGTCTTAAAGTTGCCAAGTTGGACACCCCTAACCTAAGGGATCTTTGGACTGCTCACTGACAACTACTCATTCTTTTCTCCAGACTAAAGGGAAGTGAAGTGGCTTATAGGAAGACAGCAAGCAAAATATATGATATCTCAAGATAATAATGGTAAGAACACTGGGACTGCACCATGTTTGGGTTGACTTTGGGATAAAACTAAGCTGAATGAGAAGTAAAAATTATGTATCTGTTTTCAAGTTTATATTTCTTAACATCTCCCTATTAAAATGCTATGTGCAGCTATTTAATCACTTTACAGTGTCAGGTGCAAAGAATCAGACTCATCTGTTAGGTTGCAGCATAGAAGATTTATTCGAGTCTACACACAAGAATCTAGTCAATTAAAATTCTGTATTAAATTGGTGCCAGATATGGCTCAGTGGAATTCTGGAGAGGTTCGACTTGGACCATTTGTGGCAACATAACGACTCTAGGCTGACATTTAACTCCATCCCCCAGCTCTGTCTGCTCTTCTTACAAACACAAAGGAATTGAATGATTCTAAAATGGCAAGGAAAATAAATTAATGAGTTTGAATTGTATCTTATGTCTTCAATGATTGTTTTTTAAACATGATCTCTAGTTGCTATAGGCAGTTACTATAACATTTTTTAACATTTGTAATTTTTTTTTCAAAAATTAGACAATCTATTAATCTATTGGGTCACTCTCTGACAGAAAGATAGTGTAGTCTGGTATGAATGGAATGAACATTAAATTTCTTATTCTCTCCTTGTTGTTTCCCAATGCCTTTTGGTGTAAATTCTCGACTGTGATGCCTTCCCCAATCTTTCCACATGGCATAATTAAGCTGGTCATATATTTTTTTACCCTAATCTGAACATTCCCGTCATCATGTCAGAATTTATTTTACAAAAAGGTACCAGTAAAATGGCTTGCTACTACCAAGAACATTTTTCTAGGGATTATAATCATATTTTAAAAATTATAAATGCTAAAAAGACTCAGTAAATCCTTAATAGCAAATTATAATAATTGTAATGTGCTCTAATCCTTTCATACACTTCACTATTCAAATATTAAAAAGAAAATTACATTCTTAAGTTCTTTTTGCTGATCTTTACTAAGTGAAACATGCACTAATTTAGTATTGCTATGACAAATCTGCTGTATAGAGTAAAACTGGATGAATACAACCTCTTCACGCTCCTAATATACCCAAGCGATCCATGAGTTTTGCCATCCTCTTCTAGCAATTCTAAAAATTCAATCTCAATTATAAGATAACTCTGATCCTTGTCTCACTTAAAGCAATCAGAATTATTCTCTCTATATCAAAATCAATAAGCAGAAGACATGATGAAAGACATCACTCTTTTTAGAATTAAATTTATGACTGCTGAAGAGAAAGGACAAGTCAATTTAAAATTTGACCTATGTTTTTTCTAGTACTACTTTCAATAAAAATGAATAAAAGTCTAGTTCAATGAAATTTCAGACATATATGTGTGCATTTGTGTCTACACACACACACACACACACACACACACACACACACAATCTCAGATGTTCAAGCTAGAAAATCTCAAATTGTGCTGACCAGAAAAGGAATGCAGCTCCTTCCTTTTACCTTTTCCTTTTCCCCTAAAGCAACAAATTGAAACTATTGGCAATCTTCATATAAAGCATGGGCAGAATCATGGCCAAATATCTATGATTATGCAGTGTATTTATCATGCCTTTTGAGCCATATGTTATTTTTCTTAAGTAAAGAGCATATTTTCAATAACCAAATGATTCTCCAATCATACTTTTCTCCATTATTCTATAACTAAATCTACATATTACAGCTAGCAACTGAATATGCCACTGTATATCTTTCCCCCAATAATCACATGTGAGTTAATTTAACAGTATGTACATATATGCACATATGCATAGTCATCATATTATTTCCTTTTGGGATAAGCAACATTATGCAAATCACAAGAAAAGAATTAGAATATTGAGTTGAGAATTTAAAGGTATGAGTTTGAAAAAAAATAAAGGGATCTGGTTTACACAAAAACCAGTAATAGTACCTCTCCATAACTTACAACCTATCTTTCTTTCCATCATTTCTACATATTGTTTCATATATTGCATTTCATTCTTTAAACTACTCATTTTTTTTCTTTTGAGGTTCTCTTCAATTCCATCAATCTATGCTCCTTCTTCATATTCCCTCTTCTTCTCCATCACTCACTCTTCTTCATGAATTTGAGTTTTGATTTTGATGAGATAGCCCAAGCCCTGTTGAGTTACCATTTCAAAAATATTTTCTTATCTAAACAGAGAAACAGAACGATCAAGGAAAGCTGAGAGCCCAGGTTCAAGACCCAAGCACTATGAAAAGGGTGAGCTCCCGTTACTTGCCCAGCTCCTGCCCACCCAGGAGTTTGAAACCATGCAAATGCGAGTAGATAAATAGGTACCACTTCAGTGGGAAGATAACAGCAATCTGTGCTACTTTGGAATACAGCCATGCTGACCACAGGATCACGGAAAATGTCTTTGGAAAACGTCTGCTCTCTGGCCAAGAAATGAAGATGAGCATTGTGTCCTAGAGTCAGACACAACTGGACAAAGAAACCTTTTATCTTTTGATTGCAATACATATATTGCAATCAATTTATATTTATATATAAAATTTCAAATAGATTTACTAATTTAAAAATTTGGGGGGAGGCTGTTTTGCAAGAGGTGAGAACCAATATTGTAGTAATGTATTAATCAGTATTCAATTAGGGGGATATATGTTGGGGTTATTTCTTTTCAATGCACTTTTTAAATGTCTAGATTATTTTGTTTGTTTTTTTGTGGGTCTTTTTGAGTTTTGTATTTTAACTTCCCTATGAATAAAATAAAAAATAGAGAAAGACAAAAGGTATTTTCATTCATTCTTTCTGCTTATTCTTTTAAACAGGGGAATATTAACAGCATTGTTCCATTCATCAGTTTTCCCAGTCTCCAAACACATTTATTTATTTATTTATTTATTTATTTATTTATTTATTTATTTGTGAGACTTATATACCGCTTTAAGTGCAAGCACTCTCTAAGCGGTGTACACCAGTAAGCAATGGATATATATATTTACATTGCCCCCAACAATCTGGGTCCTCATTTTACCTACATATTAAACAAGCTTCACAGATACTCCATGAGAAAAACCACATCCATATTTTAACATTTG